AGGTCATGTTGTGATGGTGTCCCGATCATGTTTTGATTGTGTCCCAGTCATGTTGTGATGGTGTCCCGGTCGTGTTTTGATGGTGTCCCGGTCATGTTTTGATGGTGTCCCGGTCATGTTGTGATGGTGTCCCGGTCATGTTTTGATGGTGTCCCGGTCATGTGATGGTGTCCCGGTCATGTTGTGATGGTGTCCCGGTCGTGTTGTGACAGTGTCCCGGTCATGTTGTGATGGTGTCCCGATCATGTGATGGTGGCGCGGTCATGTTGTGATGGTGTCCCGATCATGTTTTGATGTGTCCCAGTCATGTTGTGATGGTGTCCTGGTCATGTTTTGGCGGTGTGCCGGTCATGTTTTGATTGTGTCCGGGTCATGTGATGGTGTCCCGGTCATGTTGTGATGGTGTCCTGGTCATCTTGTGATGGTTTCCCCGTCATGTTTTGTTGGTGTCCCGGTCACCTTGTGATGGTGTCCCGGTCATGTTGGGATTGTGTCCCAGTCATGTTGTGACGGTGTCCCAGTCATGTTGTGATGGTGTCCCCGTCATGTCATGCTGGTATCCCGGTCACCTTGTGATGGTGTCCCGGTTGTGTTGTGATGGTGTCCCAGTCATGTTGTGACGGTGTCTCGGTCATGTTCTGATGGTGCCCTGGTTCCGGTTATGTGATGATGGTGTCCAAGGAAGAGATGGTCGATGTGTTGAAAACAGCAGCTGTTTCCAGATTTTTCTTGTTGTCCCGGTTTGTATTGCTATTGGGGTCTCCAGCTGGGCTAATTTTGGGGCGAAAACTCGCATTCCTCAAGGGGTGGCTGTGTTCTTGACACAAAATATGCACAGTCAAGGTAATTCTCTTTTTTTACGGGTATCGCTCATTCTGCACACAGCACTGTGCGGGTTGTTTCGTGTTCTAATTGCCAAATTGGCTCTTCTGAGCATTCATTATTGGTGTTCTGAAGCACTCGGTCGTTTTTGGACTTTGCTTTTTTGGCGAAAGGACCAGCGAGCTCCACGCTTTGGGTCGCCATGGCCCTGCAAAAAAGAGGCCATGTGAACCTGTGGTGTGACAGAATTGTGTCGCGCTTTTTGGTCATTTACTCTCAATTATGCGGCTCTAGCTAAGGATACATGCTCCCTTGCTTGGCATAAGTTAGCATGTATTTTTGACCATAAATTGGTGGACCATTGCAAGTGAGCAATGTGTCAGCACAAGCATGCAAAACATCAATAAATTGACAAAACGCCTATGGAATGAGGAACAACACCTTTATTACTTATTCTTCTTGATTTAGATATTAGATATCTTCTCAAAAAGACTCAGAGAGACTGCATTGCTAGGTGAGTCCCAGACAATGACTTGAGCGCGCCGGCTTTGCGGTCGGTGCCTGAGAAAACCATCCATCGGTTTTCTGCAGGTTGGCCTGGGGTGAACGTTCAAGAGATGCTGTGCTTGGCTTGGTTGACCTTCTGGGGATTTCAAGGGGTTCCTTAGTTGTTTTGCTTGAACTTTGGACCTTATAGCGTCTCTCTTAGATGTGTGATTTCTTCGGCTGTTCCTGTTGAGCGCTGGAATGAAACCTGCCTCGAAGCGCAGATCTGGGCCAGTTGCGTTGAGACCCCAAATTAGAAGATTTATTGTCAAGAAGTTGGATCTAAACCAAAAATCGCATTAATGGTGATTCTCGCTTTACTTGATCTAAATATTTATTTCTTTTAATGGGAAAGCTTTCGGTTGTCATGCTGTTGCCATTCCATTAGATACCATGGTTGCGCGGTGTGCCCAGTCACGTCGACATTGAGGCCAAAAAGAAGAAGTCAAAGTCAAAAGGCCCCTCTTGCAAAAGCACTTTTGTGGGAAAGGTAAACGAAAATTCAAAAGTGTTTCAGCTTTTGGTGGCAGCATCCTTCTTTCGGCTTTAGCAGTGGCTTTCTTGTGGCAAAGACTTGCAAGGATGACGGTTCAGTTGAAATGTTTCGGTTGACGCGTGGCGAGTAATGACAACAGAAAGAATAAACAAAACAAAG